TTGGCTAACTACTAGTCAACGGATCCATTATTCAACTTTAGTTTTCCTTGTTCTGTAATCAGCCGTAATCGATTTGAAATTTCACTCCTAACAATTCATTTTGCAGTCAACAATAAACCTATCGCTGGTGATAGACTTGCTAAAATAAAACCTTTGGTAGATAAACTCCTCAAGAATTATAAAGATCTTTATACTCCCGGTAGAATATGTACGTACTGATGAGACTATGTTCCCTTATAGAGGAAGATTGCCTATAAAACAATACATAAAATCGAAAAGACACAAGTATAGTATCAAGCTTTTTGAGTTATGTTCAGGAATGGCAAACGAATAACTCAAAAAGATTTCTTACCCACGATATTGTAGGAGTCGGCCGAACCTTGATAACATAAAACCGGTATACCTTTAGCTAAAAGGATGCTTAATTCTCATATACACCTCCAAGTTATAGACAAAAAACTTAAAAAAGGAGAAGTTAGGGCCATGGAGAATAAATATGGAATAACTTTACTGAAGTGGAAAGACCAAAGGGGTGTGCTTGTACTGCCTATAAAATATGACGCTGAAATGGTAGACAGAAATTAAAATGGTAGAGAGAAATAACACTAGAATATTAAAAGTCAATAGATTACAATAAAGACAAAAGTTCTGTGGACTCCTCTGATGAAATGGGATCGTATTCTAATCCTCTTCGATCTTCTTCGAAAGATCCGTCAACTGGTAACATGGTAAATGCTTTAATAATGTTACCGGATGTAATATCAAGACTACGCAGTTTAAAAAGGAAGTAATACGATATACATACTGCTAAAACCGAAAACATTGAACAATACCACGAACCACCGACAAAAAGACGACACCACTCTCTAAAACGAACATGTAATGAGAATAAGCATAAAACAAGATGTTGCAAGCATTGTAACAAAATAACGAGCTTCATGGTAGGAAATATGCTACCAAATCGGACACTCAAAGTATACACCCACTGCGAGGATTGCGACGGAAAACGCTTTTTATGTTTAATGTGTTTCAATGAAATACATCAAGAGTAGTTAGACTTAGCTCGATATTTGTCCAGTTTCTATATTTCAATTATTTTATACAGTGATATGAGAGTTACTTTTGGATTTGAATACATACTTTGCTCATAATGAATCGTTTTATTTTTTAGTGGGACCACTAAACTCAATATTTTATAACCCTGCTTAAGCGGAGTTTTCACGATACGAGTACATTCTCGGTCCAAGTGCACTCGTATGGCAACTCGGAGAGTGGAAACCGGTAATTCACGCGCACTCGGATGTTAACGTCCGATCAGAGTGAACTCGGACCATATAATTATTGCAAAAGGGAGTCAAATGAAAATACGTAACCGTTTCGAAAGAAAAAGTGGAGCGAGCGCGATAGGTTGAAATTTGTTGAACTTACGAAACTGAAGAACTCTTATGGAATGCAAGATTTAATACTTACAAAATTAAAGATGCAACAAATGTTGCACTGCAGCGCATTATAAGTAACCTAAATTTAGATGACAACCATCTGGATATAAACACGAAAATAAACAACATACCTAGTAGTAGTAAGATTAAAGTCACAAGGAACTGGATCCGGGGCTGACGATGTGTATCTACCATTTGTGCCATGGTTCGAAATAGCTGACAGATTTGTCTGGAATTATCAAGCCAAGGAAAACGTTTTAAAATCTAGAGGGTTAAATTAAGTATTGACATGCCATTTTATTTATTATAATCCTGCAAAAGTTTGTTCTTTTTTATCATGTGGGTTTGTGTAGTTTGTAGGCTGGTGAGTCCTATTCTTCTTTTTACAACAAGTAGTGAAACCGCTTAGAGAAAAGCTGGTTTTTGATCATATACTACATTCTATGATCTGATTTCATGGTACCTGTCATTTATAATCAATCGATGAGTTAAACAACACGATAAAATAACAAGATATGAATTCATATTATTGGTTTATTGTCTTACAACATAAATATAATTGGTTGCCTAAAATATCCTGTTATTTTGCCATGCGACATCACCTTCTGCAATGAAATATTTTTTATAGTTTTTCGTTCTGCCAACTGGGAATAATTATTACCCTGATTCTGTAGATCGGCAATATAAATAGACTTAGGTTCTTGTCTCCATGCACCAGGTCTATCGTGCGTGTCCATAGTGCTGACAGGTACACAAAGCTGTTTAGATTAGCCAATTAGGGATTGCGCAAGTGGCCTTTACGATTTTGTCTACTTTATCTGGACCTACATAATATATATGAGCCGTTGAAAGCCAGGATGGTCCAAGTCCAAATTTTCAGATATCGAGATTCTATGTGTATACTGTTCTGGATGGATGAATCTTTGTCTGGGAGAGTTTTGAAAAATGTATCTTTTCGTTTTGCACACAGATGGCACCAGTCTGTTTTTATATGTCAATGGAAAGCTGTAACCGTTATGAGGCAGAATGGGACAAGTGTGACTTAACCCATTCTGGTTTTCAATAGTAGTGTCAAGCGGGCAAAAAATAGCATCAAGTACGTGCCAGAAGACTGGTATACAACAATAAGAACATGCAGACCCAGGAAACCCTTTTACGTCTGTGAAATGGAACGGTCTGATTTTTTCTGATCAACAACATTAGAGGAAGCTGTAACAAGACGAAAGAAAAATGGTACTAATGCCACTGTATCATGGCTCCAGATCCAGCGGCTACACTTTGAGAAAAAAGAACCTTACAAAATTTTGTATAAAGATACTTTGATTGAAGAATTTCCATATGATTTTATAAATTTACTACCAAATCGAAAGGCGCACCCAAAAACTTCAAAAATATGTTCCTTTGTATGAATCCCCTCTTCCTGTCAACGACAAAAAGAAGAAAAACATGGAAGAGATTCTCCAATTCATACCACCAGTTCAGCACAGTTTTTTAAAGAATCTGAAGACAGATGCAACTTTGCCAGATACCGGACGACTGCTTGTTACTGAAGAAGAAGAAGGAGAAGGCGAACAGACTCGAGAATTTCCAGAAATTCCATAAGGTCGTGTCAGTACAGTACAGTTTTTGTGTAGAAAATATACATTATTTTTTTACTGTATGGAGATTGATTTCTCTCGTTTTGTAATAAAATTATCAATTCACATAATGTTCTGTAACTCTACTTTAATACTCTACTTTACTATAATCGTTATACAAGTATGAAACCAAAGGTAAGAACCGTTTTAATGCAGAGTGGGCTAAAGCTTAACCACATGAAAAAAAAACACATAAACACAAAATGTTCATGTATTTTATGATAAGATACTTAAATTGATTCTACCTTTAAGGGTATTTTGATTTCTTACTGCAGTTTTATTATTCTACATTTATCAGCCACATTTAAACTTTAAAGCCTTAAATCTCGGAAACGTCTTTTTGTGACTTGGACCATCCTGGCTTTCAATGGCTCATATATATGTATATATATATCGTAGTACGACAAATTCGGAACTTCGATACCGTAAAATGGTCCTACTTTGCTCCTACATGGGTAATTATGCTCCAATACTGTAAAATACTTTGTCGTCTAGTACGTCGATTTCTTCAAGGCATGGCATTAAATTGTGAACGCACCCTAAACATCTGACATTTGAGTAGCAACACTGCAACAGAAAGATTTAATCCGCCATTGTTTTTCAATAGCAGGTGCCATTTTTGTGCGGGAGCTGAAATTGTCATTCGATTTGTATCAAAAAAAGCCACTTCTATCTTGAAAATCACATAGCGTGAAATGGTAAGTACATTTGCATGGTGCTTTGTATATATTCAGCTAATCAAAAATGTGAATATTTAAAAGAAATAACTAAGTTGTTTATTATATAACCTCTCTTTTTCTTGCGCTCTCTTATTCTATACATGCTGGGGTAACTTTGCGCCTGGAGCAAAGTAAACCCAAAATTATATGGTAAGCGAATAAACTAGAAATATGCATTTTCAATAATAATATTGACTTTTTTATAAATAAAACTATTGTTTTGTTTCAGAAAAGATGCCGAGAAATTACAAGAAACGTTTAGGCTCCCAGAATTATAAGAATTATACCCAAGAAAATCTAAGAGCATGTCTAGCCTCTATAGAAAATAAAGAATCCACTCAAAGAAGAGCCACGAAGAACTATCATCAACCAGCTAAAACTCTTGCGATCTAAAATGCCATCTCGACCACCTGGAGCTCCAACAACATTTTCGGACGAAGAAGAAGAATTGTTTGTAGATTGCATCTTAAGACTAAGCGAGTACGGTTTTCCTTTGACAGCCTTCGACCTTAGAATAGTCATTCGAACATATTTGGATAGAACTGGCCGGAAAGTTACAAAATTTTGAGATAATTGTCCAGGTACTGAATGGGTTTCAAGTTTCTTGAAAAGACGTCCATGTTTAACACAGAGATTTGCGGCCAACATAAAACGTAGCAGAGCAGCAGTTGACAAAGAGACTGTCATTGCCTACATAAAAAACTTGGAAGACGTGGTTAGAGACGTCCTTCCCGAAAACATATGGAACTTTGACGAAACTAACCTTTCAGATGATCCTGGTCAAAAGAAAATTATAACTAAGCGTGGTGCAAAATATCCGGAGCTTTTAAGGAACACATCCAAAAGTTCAACTTCTATAATGTTTGCTGGAAATGCTGTGGGGGAATTACTACCGCCATACGTGGTGTACAAGTCCAAGCAACTGTGGAGTACATGGACAGTGCATTGACCAAAACATGTCAGATACAACAACAGTCCTTCAGGTTGGTTTGACATGAATATATTTAATGATTGGTTTTTTACCCAGATATTGCCAAGACTGAAGAAACAAGAGAGTCCCAAAGTTATTATAGGAGACAATTTGTCATCTCATATTTCTGTAGATGTCTTGAAAGCCCTGTGACCAGAACAATATTAGATTTGTTTGCCTGCCTCCTCATAGCACCCATTTAACTCGGCCATTAGATGTTGCTTTTTTTCGCCCAATGAAGGTGGCATGGAGGAAAATCCTCACCGAATGGAAAGCAAGTGTACAAGGCAGTCGAGAAACAGTAGTTCAAAAAAGCAGTTTTACAGTTCTGTTGAACAGACTCATTGATATCTTGGAACCAACGAGGGAGGCTAATCTCATTTCGGGTTTCCGAAAATGTGGAATTTTTCCTCTTGACGTCAATCCATTATTGGACAGGTTGCCTAGAACTATTGACCAGATTGCTTTACAAGATTCTTTTCTACAAAGTCTTGAAGCTAAGAATGGACGAAAGGTGGAACTACGAAACGACGTCGAACAAAACTAAATATCACTCCTGGGAAAAGCGTAACTGAAGAATTAAGCACACTTTCGGATGATAAAGAAAATGGAGAGTTAGCAAAGCCTTCAACGGCACGAAGACCACGTCACCGTAGAGCTAGTAGAGAAAGCAGCTACGCAGATAGTGTCAACATGTCAGTTCACGACTCATCAGATGTTGCTTCTCTTGATGATTTAGAAAATCTTGAAGTTCAGTTTAATGCACAGGCTGAAGGTTGTGGCAAGAATATTAATTTTAAGCCACTCGTGAAGGCAGTTGGGCAATATGTGGTATTCACGTATGAAGGAGAAATTTTTCCTGGTAAAATTACAAAAATCTGTGAACAGGGACCATACGTTTCTTCAATGAAAAAGTCTTTGAAATCCTGGAAATGGCCTGAGCTTCCGGATGAAATCCAGTATCATTGGGAGGAAATTTTGGGATGTATTGATCCGCCTAAAAAATTCAGTCTTAGACGTGACATCTACTCAGTCCCCGAACTAAACCAAATTTGTGTACAAAATGTTATATTGCTATGAAACATTTTTATGTTTTTGTTCTTGAAAGTTTATAACAACGACTGACTTAACGTCTAAAGTTAAAGAAATTACAGTTCCTACTTTTTGTTGAAGTAACTTTAAGACATATAATGTGTATAATATGTATAAGTTTTTTATCGCATAAGTATTTTCAAGTTCTTAAGTTTTGCGTTCAGATGAAAGTAGTATAGAGTGAACAATGTGATTTTCTTTCAAAATAAATACAATAAACGAGATTTTGCAAAAGAAATTCTCTTTATTATATTATAGTTGGTCCACGTCGCAACCCACATAGTCATAAAACGTAATGGAAATTATAACTGGACCATAGTTTCAATAAAGAAAGCATAACTTTGCTCCGAAGGATTTTCTAACCGAGATCTGTTGTAAAAAATATTTAGGAGCAAAGATACCCACGACAATGGGTAAGATTGATCCTTAATTATTGTTTTATATATGCAAAAAATACGTCTTGACATTAATTTGCTTTCAAAATGTGTTAGTTAATATGTTCCTCCATTTATGAAAACATATGAGCATATCTTAATAATTGATAGTTTGGAAAATATTTGAGATTTCCTAAATTTGGAGCAAATGTTGGAGCAAAGTAAGACCACTTTACGGTACCATTATTCTGAAGATATTCTCTAGTATTCTCCTCGCTTGAGAAAGGCGGTAATTCTAAATTTTTTCTTCGTCCGTCAAAGGCAGTCTACGAGAATAGGGTTTCATCAAATAGCATGTCAACGGAGATGCTTCGTCTTCTAATATAACACCCTAAGAAGGAAAATTCAGTGTACCGTCATCCAATTTCTTTTTCAGTATTAAGTTACTGAAAATTGAAGCGTTGATTTATCTGTCCATCCATCGCGCGATAGTAACCATTTTGCTGTGTCTCGGCATCCAACCAAAAAAAGCATAGAGAGAGATTGCCTCAACATATTGAAAAATCGATTGAGACACCCCAGGAGATTAAAAATCAAGTATTAATAATAAAGAAGTAGAAGATGAGTTCCATTATTTCGGTCAAAATATATTGCTAGCTAAATGCGACAACTTCCAATATCCGATGCTTTTGATGTTCAAGCAGCAATTTTAAGTTTACTGAAAATGAAAGGGCAGTGAATTATCCAGCAATCCAGCTCTCCTAGATATTCACCGCAGTCGGAATGCTTTATTGAAATACCGGATCATTCGAGTTTTAACAGCAAATACTGAACAAAATACTGTCATTCAGGCAACTGTTCGAGGAAACAGTATATTAGAAGAGGCTATATGAAATATACCTGCTGTTAGTGAAGAAGGTGTCCGAAGATTCTGGAAGATAACATATCAGAAGTAGCTATCACAAACATTATTTCACCCCCCACTCCTCGTAAGTGTGGTGAACAGAAATGTGTCTATCTAAATCTAAATAAATAAGTTTAAGGAATAAGATTTGTACTTACTGACCTATATAAATTCTTCTAATGCTTCGTAAACAGCATCTAACACTGAAGGTAGAAACTGCGATATCGAACATTTTGGAACCCGAAAGTTACTCTCCAAACTGCGAAAGTCGTCGCCAGTAGCTAGATAACAGTTTAACCCTTGCAGGTAGCGCTTCCCTAATAAGAGGCTTCTGTATTTTTGGTGAAACTCTTTTGAGAAGAAACCTTCATTGTGTGCTATTTAATCGTAGACGATTTTTATACGTATCCTGATCTGTTTTTACTTCACGAAGGAAATTATTAGATCCACCCTGTTGATAATGCTTTAAAATCCAATTGCGGGTCCAAATCTTTCTTTTGCTTTTTATCTTTGTTATGTTGCTCTTCTATCTCTGAAATAAGCATATAGCCACTACTTATATGCCTTGTAGCAATAAATTAGTCGTCCTGATAACACTATCGAACTAAATAGATGCTTCTCGGAGGCTGCTTTAACTCGGAACACGTCGACTACAATCCTATAGGGATAGGGTAATGCGGGGGAATAACGGCCAGTGGGGGTAATGCCGGCCTGCAACTATTCCGAGTATATCCGTGTATAACCGAGCGGCGTGCTCGTTGGCAGCTGGCTTTTAAGCACTGCCGCCGCAGTCTTAATGGCGGCCTGAGTGCACGTGACGATATTTATCGTGAACAAACATATTTTGTTCGCGCTGTTATAAGAAACTGGTATTGTAAAACGTAAGTATTGACGTTTTGGTTACTAGTAATTTGATGAACTGATATGTAAATTCATAGATTATTAAGTATATTTTCATTATGGTAATATATTTTGGACATATAGTTGTAAAAAAAATACCAGCACAAGTAAAACAGTTCACGTCATTTTGGGGTTATACCGGCCACAGTAAATGGGTAATGGCGGCAGTGGCCAGTATTACCCCATATACAGAAAATCTCACAGCTATTAAACTAGTTTTTTTTTAATATTTGCAGATGCCGTGGCATTATAAAAGAAAAATAGAAAAAGCTTCCTGGCAGAAGGAGCATTTGCAAGAAGCACTACGTGCCATCCAAAATGGTGTGTCAATAAGACAAGCAGCAGTAAGATTTGGGGCACCAAGATCCACCTTACAAGCCCGAATGAAAAATGAGGGCGTTAACCCTTTCACTGCGGCAACCGTCCTGGGCCGCAACAGAACGTGGCAATTGAGGTGCGGGAACCGTTTATAAACGCGAAGGTTTCCGAAAGGGTTAGCTGCGGGGCCCGAACGTTTACGTTTGATAGTAGGTATAGGTATCTGAGTTAATGGATTCCCCGGCCGCTAGATGAGGTAAGATGTCAGGCAGATTTAATATGCCTTAACTGCGGGAACCGTCCGAACACGTTTAAACTCTTAGAAACCTGTCAGTGGCGTATGAGGATGAGGTGATATTAGGTTATTGTTTTTCATTAGGTTAGTGTGTAGTTAGTGTTTGTTGTGGGATACTATAAACAAAAGGTAAATATTATCATTTATTTATGCAAGTGTTGTCGATTTGATTTATTTTCGGTAAATTGTTATTGATTTTTGAGCGCCACGCCAATCCCACATGTGGAGTTAATTTTTTTCGATCACGTTTTGTAGTGTAGTTTAGAAATTTCCGGAAATTTAATCTTAACATATGAGTGAACGTTGTTGATTTATATATCGGAAGGCGAACGTGACAAAAAAATAGATTCGAATTTGTGGTTGGCGAACTAAAATCTACGTAGGTATGTAGAAAGAATATACAAAAAAATCATTCAATTCATAGATAATGACTGAAAGACGTGGACCTCCCTACTACACTGATGAGGAACTGCTGGAAATATTGATGAATAGTGATGAAGAAACATCAGACATAGATGAAAATGAGGTGCCTACCAGTAATGAGGACGAGGTAGATGAAACGGAGAGCGATTTGGAAGGTAGTGAAATACATTGTTATTTATTAGTGAAAAATAGAGACGAAATTTCAGACGATGGTCCGCCAGAGGTAATACCGAAACTTGATGGAGCATTTTCCTGGAGCAACCAGCCATTTGAACCCATTATTCATCGCTATAACCCTGCTACATCGGAATTGAAAAACACTTTTGATCCGAATTCTACTCCACTCATGTGTTTCAAGCAATTTTTTTCTGAAGCATTGTTAGAACACATAGTAATTGAAACAAACCGTTATGCTGATGACACGTCTCAAACTGCACCAAGTACTTCTCGTCAAAGCAAATGGAAGCCTACTTGTCGTGATGAGCTATACGTCTTTCTGGCTGTTACAATATTGATGGTTCATACAAAGAAACGAAAAATAAACGACTATTGGGCCACCGATCCCCTAATTGTTACACCAATATTTAGTCAAATTATTTCACGTGATAGATATATACTTCTTCTGCGTAATCTTCATTTTGCTAATAATGAAGAACAGAAGAATACAAACGATCGTCTCTTCAAAATTAGAACAGTTGTTGATCATCTAAAAGCTGCTTTTTCAAAAAGTCTACATCCTTTTCAAAATCTTTGTATAGATGAGAGCTTGATGTTGTTCAAGGGACGAATCGGTTATAAGCAGTATATTCCATCGAAACGTCACCGATTTGGCATAAAGTTTTTCATTTATGTGATTGTAAAACTGGATATACACTAGATTTCATTATCTATACAGGATCTAATTCCAATATTCAGGAATTTGAGGGAAATCTTGGTAAAGGAGCGAATATAGTTTTAACTCTCATAGAACCATACATGTACAAGGGGCATAATATATTTCTGGACAATTGGTATTCAAGTCCAACCCTTTTTCGGGTACTTCATCAACATGAATAAATGCATGTGGGACTGTTAGAGCAAATAGATCTCACATGCCTCCACTAAAAAAAAAACTAAATAGTGGTGAATTACAACATGCGTCGACGGATACGTTGTTACCATTGAAATGGAAGGATAAACGGGATGTTATGATGCTGACGACATTTCATACAGCAGATGTTGTTCCTGTTCAAAACAAACGTGGAATTGAAGTCACGAAACCCGTGTGTATTTTAGAATACAATAAAAATATGGGAGCAGCCGATCGATGCGATATGCTTTATAGCTCAACAGAAACAATTCGCAAATCCATAAAATGTTACAAAAAAATATTCTTCCACTTACTGGATATATCAATACTAAATGCGCATGCCTTGTACCAACTAAAGACTGGAAAGAAGTTGCCCCTAATAGATTTTCAATTGCAATTGGTAAAGCAACTATTAGATGAACACAAAAAAGCTCATCCTCGGCTTGTAGCAGGGAGAGCAAATGAAAATTTTTCATTACGTCTAACAGAAAGGCATTTTCCATCACTAACAGAACAGCGCAATGAACAAAATAAACTTGTACCTAGACGTTGTGTGGTGTGTTCTAAGAGACGAAAGCGTAGGGAAACAACTTATAGATGTTTGAAATGTGATGTAGCTCTTTGCGTGGTGCCATGTTTTGAACATTATCATACTTTGAAAAAATTTTAGTGTTGTTATTTTTGTTTTTGCTTTGTGAATATATTTTGTTTTTATGTAACTTCATAAATCAATTAGTTCTAATAAATAATAATAAAGTTGGAAATTTAAATTAATTTGAACGATACCTAGGTCACTGTGTAATCGAAACACGCGGGACCTGCTAGCCCAAGCTGCGGGAGACGTACGGAGCCGATGAGCTTGGTGGCGACCGCACACGGTAATACATTGCTAAAAACGTACGTCGCAGTGAAAGGGTTAATTCTGGACCTTCGTTGGGACGTAAGCCAGTCTTTTCAAAAGAAGAGAAGTAAAAAAGTTGGCTAAACATTTTTATGGGTTAACTCCCATTGAAGTGCGAAGATGCGCATATGCCTATGCAAAATCCAACAATATCAATGTCCCATTGAATCAAGAAAAACAATTGGCTGGCAACGACTGGGCGGCTGGATTCTCGTCTAGACACAATATTGCGTTAAGAAAACCCGAAGGAACCAGCATTAACCGAATTAATGCATTTAATCGCGAAGAGGTATCCATTTTTTTGAATAATGTATCTGAAGTCATGGAAAAATATAAATTTATACCTAATGAAATATATAATTGCGACAAAACTACCGTTACCACCGTGCAGCGTCCACCTAAAATATTTAGAGAACGAGGGCAAAAACGGGTTGGTTTTGTCACAAGCTGGGAGCGGGGAAAAACAACTACAGCATGTGTGCTTTCAACGCTTCGGGTAGTTACATTCCGCCCATGTTTATATCTGCCCGCCAAAGAATGGCAGTACATCTTCAGCAAAATGGTCCTCCAGGTGCCATCTACGGGTGCTCAAAAAATGGATGGATCACAGAAGACTTATTTATTATGTGGCTAAGAAATTTCCAGTTATTCATAAAATGTTCTAAAGAAGATCCAGTTCTTTTGATTATGGATAACCATATCACTCATTGCACCTTCTCAGCTTACAATTTTTGCAAAGAAAATGGAATTATAGTTTTGACCATTCCTCCACACTCATCCCACCGTCTCCAGCCCTTGGATATGACCTTCTATGCACCCTGAAAGGCAGCTTTTAATTCGGAATGTTCCAAATTCCTAACGAATCATCCTGGGGAAAAAATTAATCCTGGAGATATTGCTGAGTTATTCTGGCATTCAGCAGAGTAGCTAACCCGGAAAAGGCCATTAAAGGCTTTAAAGTGACAGGATTATTTTCCTTTAACCTCGACGTATTTTCTAGTGAAGATTTTGCTACTGCAGAAACCCTACAGCCTAGATTTGTTGTTTAGGTTTAACAGTCGTTAAATGGTGAATTCCTGATATAGTGGGGGTGTTGTAGATATCATGAATTCACGATTATTTAGGTATGAGTTGCGACATTTCTAGTGTCATATGAGACGGTCGACAGCCGGTGTTGTATCTATTTGGTACTGTGATGTGCAGTCGCTTAAATATAGCTGTGATGACAACACGTAGATCCCGTTCCCGTTAACAGTTTGAGACAATACTTCACAAGTTACACTTGTCTGATATCCAACTTCCGTAAATATCTTCAACATACACTCCTATACGGTCTAGCTCGTACGGCGTACTCGGACCGAGTATACTCGTATTGTGAAAACCCCGCTTTATAGATATCTTCTATGAGGCCGTGCCGGTTCCCTAAACAACATAATTACATTATAAAAGCGGCCAGCGGCTCCACACCTAAGTGAAAGTCTGCTGTTCCCAAAGGATCAGCGCGACTCGAGACAAGTTATTTAAGCGGGTTTCATGGGTCCAGCGTGGCAGTCAACGTGCTAACTGAAAGTTCATTTCACTTTAGTAGTCAGAATGCCCTTCTGTTAATTGAGATGTGTTTAGTACCAATATAAAGCAAACAAAACCAAATATTGCTCTAATCTCCAAATGGTGGCAGCTGAATAAAAATAGTTTCAGTGCTTAGAACCAAAAAACGGATTTCTCACATATCTACTGTAATTGGTTAATAAAGTCAAGTTAATACTCATTTTTGTGTCGCTTTGGATTTTGGATTTGGAATGATGTGTACCAATCTTCTCTCCGATTTTTTTTGTAGATTTGCTTCCTCTATCAACTGTATGGGTACAACAGGCAAAGGTACTGCTTGTACAGGTAATACTTGCACTATTACAGGCTTTTGATTTTTATCTTGTCCTTTTTCAATCCTTGCAGCTTCTACAGCAGTGGAAATATTCCCACTTATTTCTGGAAATAGTTGTACTGTATAGTGCAGCTGGCAACAATACGAAGAAAAAACTGAATGCTAAGTTTCCCCAGTGCTGACTGGCTACTTAATAATGATCCATCAATCAATGTATGGCTTCTTCCTACAGTAAACGGTGATTGTAGGTAAATATCCATCCATATGAATTCCGTTTACATAGCAACGCAGAATGAACGGAATTCATATGGCCGGATCTGAGACTACAGTCACTGACAAGTTACCAGCTACTGTATGAACAAACCAGTATTCGACCTGAATGCACCAACCATATACTGTATTCAGGCGTACAAAAAAAATACTATTAGCGCCATCTGTGAGACAGAATTTTAAAATCTACTTTGAAAAGAGTTAGTGTGTTTGGTTCCGATACTGTTTCATAGATGGCGGTAGGATCTTCATTCCTTTTTTTGGCATCGCTAATGCCTAGTTGGGTATCTTTAGGTATTGATTAACGTATTCCACCTGAAGATATCCAACTACAACAGGCATTACAGGCCAAAGAGATATTAAAGATCCTAGTACTATCAGTAGCAAAACCAGACAATCTCAACTCTTTTCAAAGTAGATTTCTAAATTTAATTTTGTCCTTACTACAGTTTCATTGACGGTGCTAGTATCTTACAAGATGGAGATAATTAGAATGCCAGTATGCTGTTTCGCCTCTTGTACTCAACCAACTGTATTTTTTCTTATAGACCCCATATTGGATGTTTGCTTTTGTGGATAGAGTTTTTGATTCTAATTTAAAAATGTAGAACATGTACATTGGCATTGCCAAACCTTGGTTATTTAAAAAAAAAATAATATAGAGGCGCTCTACATGACATGATATCTCAGGCGAAGATTAACTAATAGCATATAAATATAAAAGATGGGTTTAGATATAGGGGGTATGAAATGTGTTTAAGAAGCTGTAACATGTTGAGGCCTTTCTCAAAATGTTTCTATCAGTTACATAAAATAATACTGCTTTTAATACGACCTTCAAATAATATGAAAACGTTTTAGCATTATACTTATTGTTCTTTATTCAGTGAGTTAAGACAAACTATACGACCGCTACTTTTATAAATATTTGAAGATTTATAATACCAATTCACATCATAAAAGTCAGAAATAGGGACTGTTTACCTGAGCCTAGTTCATAAGAACTTAAGGAATGCTTGGCTGATGATAAGAAACAAATCACTATATGATAATTTTGGATGCATACCTAGCAACTTCTGTATTTTTTAATAATCAAGGTTTGTCAATTTGTGACATTACTCATTTTTAGGCGTTAGAATTTACTAAAAAGTCTAATCATCTGTGTGAATAACAACAACACCAAAATTAACGGTTTACTAGAAGACAACATCACCCAATATAAAAGCAAATCTGGAAGATATCCCCCTTGATATGACTCTAATATAATATCTAACATAAAAAAGAAAGACAAGGCTAGAAGGTACTTCAGAAAATTCAAAAGAGAGTATTATGAAAAGAAATTTAAGGAACTGAGGAGATTAGTCAAAAATGAAATTAAAACCTCCTATGCAGCTTTTGTCCAAATCATTGAAAACTCCATCCATTCAGGCCCGTGACAATTTTGGGCGATTGTGAGAAGTAGAAATAGGACAACTAGAGTCAAAATATAGTAAATGGTTTTGGAGAGTACTTTGCTAGTGGTTTTAAGCAGTCTGATGCACGTGACTTTGACAACTTGCATCTTATCATATGCAATTTTGGCAAATTGTTTGAAACTATATTGTTTTCTACTCTGTATATGCCTCTTAGAAGCGCTAATGTAACAACCCAACATGGATTCGTGACAAATCAGTTAACTGTCACTAACTTGGCTTCTGTTACACAATTTATTTCGGAGGTATTGGATTCCAAAGGACAGGTAGAAGACGTCCTATACATAGATTTTAGGAAATCTTTTGACTCAACTGATCAAAGTTGCAAGATCTGTATGTTAAAATATGTCCATGACCTTGACTATGACCATCAAGTTCATTTAAACATCAAATAAATTTCAACAGGAAACATATGTTTTTAATTCATGAGATGCACCACAACTTTAACTTCAGGCATGTCCTTCCATTTTAAGATCAGATAAACTTTGAAGCAAACTCCTGACTTTTTGTTGAGGATATGGAAAAGCGAAAAATTGAGTTGAAACTACGGCAATGCTGTTTGTACTGTAAACACGATCCCGCAACTTGACGCGTGGAGTACTCCAGTAGTAAACATATATATATATATATATATATATACGGTGACTTCGAAGTTGAGTCATTTATTTTAACAGTGAGTAGATCTGATCAAAAGAAATGTTTTTTCCTAACATTTTTCTGGTAAAACTAGAGTAACAAAGTTATAGCCCTTTAGAAGTTTGAGTACCGCCCTGTCTCAATAATAATATTATGTGCTCGTGTTTGGCAACAACGGATATAATCCGCCTTACCGGTTCATCGCATATTTAACAAAAAAGCGAAAGAAGTTGAAACGTTTATCACGATGTTTTTCGTCACTCGGTAACGCGTGAGTGAATAGTGGTGTTTGTTGCGTGGCTCAAACAAAATAAAAAATGGCACATGTTTACGAAAATGCTGAACTTGTGGACATGATTCTTATTTACGGGGGGGGGGGAGTCTTTACAAAATGCTGCCGCCGCATCACGGATTTGTGCGAATCGGTTCCCCAATCGAGTGCAACCAACCCCTCGTGCCTTTGTTAATGTAGTACAAAGGGCTCGTGAATCAGGTGACTTAAGACCTCACAGGGGAGGGCATGCCGGTGCTCCAAGACCGCATGATCAAATACAGGTCCGCGCTGAAATACTTGTCGGGAGGATACTTTATAAAACAAGGTAACATTTTTTTTTAATTTTAGAAAACTATGACAATCAAGGAGGCCATAAAGGCGCCCTACAATTTTAGGGACGACTGACGGAGACGGAGACCGGGGCTGGTAGCCGCACTTTTTTGAATTTATTTTATGACGGCTACTATAATTAATATTTTTTAAAACCCATTGTTGCCGTGAAAAGTCCTATATATTTGCAACATAAAATATTTTTTTTTTGTTTTCTTATCTCATATCGTTTTGATACAAATATATATTTCCTTCAGTAAAGCAGAGTGCGGCAACCTACCCCTCTAACGGGGTTGGTTGACGCACCACATGGGGTAGGTTGCCGCATACAAAAATGATTGTAAAAAAATAAAGAATGTGTGATTTTTTATTTTCTAATATTAAATTTTGACAAGAAAAATGTTTTTATTTTTTTTTAATCAAATAGGTACATTTTTTTAAACCTAAAATTATTAGAAAATTTAACTAATGAACTCAGGTAATAAAAAGTAAAACTAAAAAAAAACAGTCAAAGTTATCGTTAAGTGTTAAACTTATAAGAAAATTAGGTAACTAACTCTTTAATGAACTTAGGTCACAAAGACTTAAAATAAAAAATATTAACATTTTAAGTTACAAACACTTCTCTACTCACTCATACAATTAATACAATAAAAAGGAGCGTTATCTTCTCCCACACACTCTTTGTGTGCCCACCCACTGGATGAAAAACATCTAATCCATTCCTCACCCGGACGACTGTTTGTAAAAGTATCAAGGCAGTAAGCGCATAGACACTCGTCTTCATCGCTCGATTCTTCAGCCAATTGTTTTTTATTTACATTTTTCTTCTTTTTATTTTGTTTTTTGTTTCTTTGTTATTTTTAAGCTCTTTTCTTATTGGAACTTTTTTTGTTTGTTCATCTCTGAGTGCCTCTTTTATTGGCGTATCTGTCAAAATCTCGGTGTGACGCCTTTTTCGAGTTCCTTTATTCTCATTTTTTCTTGGTGGAGCTTTTGGCAGGGGCTTTAGCTCAAATGGACTGACTGTTTTTTTTTGGGTGTTCAACTCGGTATATTCTTTGGCTAATATGTTAATATTTTTAATTATTTGCTTTTCCGGAGTTTTTTCTTCGAGCGGTGGGTTTATCTCAGAAGTTTTTGGCATTGAGCTATCAGCGTTAAGAATTTCAGAATAATCCCGAGATGTTCCTGGTTGGGGACTAGTATCCTGAGATATTTTAGGTTTCGGGCTATTATTAGGTTTCCTGTCAATTTCATCATCTTTTGCTTGCTCAATAAGTGGGCGGTCAGTAGCATAAGAGGGGAGGAATTCGTCTTCAGAAAAGACACATTCATTGAATGGATAAACTCCTGACACTTTAAACCCTGCTGTTATGTTCTTTGGTGTTATTGCGCTTGGCAAAGCTACGGCCACAATTTTAGGGACATCGTAGATGGTCATACTAGACCCTGGATGACTGGTTATCCAACCATCGCATGCTGTATTTACATATTTTTTAAGGGCCCATACACTGATCTGTCCAGCGGCTGTAGCTTGTGAGAGCAGTGTGGCGGAAAGGACAACACCGTCACTCCATTCTCTTTAAGATAGTCCAAAGAATCAATTGATAAATGGGAGTCATGGTTGTCTAACAACAGAAGTACCGGCCTTTCTTTGGAGCAACCAGTGTGCTTAACAAAATGTTGACACCAGTGCAGAAAATGCTCTTTTTTCATCCATCCAGACTGGTTAGCTGCGCCAGCGCTTCCAGGTGGGGCACCAGAGAGCATGTGCTCTCTAAAGTTAACACGTGGAAAAATAAAATAGGGCGGAATGCTATTACCAATGGCGTTTACAGCTATCGCGAGAGTCACTAATGTGCCTCTTTCTTGAGAGGTGATTCGACCTACTTGTTTAAAGCCCCTTCTTGCTACAATTCTGTCAGGTTTTTGAACGGTCGTAATTCCAGTTTCATCCATATTGTAGATATCCTGAGGACCAATTTGTAGCCTATGCAGAACTGTTTTCAGATTTTTAAAAAAAATTCCTACACTGTGCTTATTGAATCCTGATGCTCGTGCCAAACTTGTGGCTTCCGGCGTACGTATAGACAGACCAGCGTGTCTTTTAATAAAATAGGTAAACCAATCTTGTCCGGCGGATTTATTTGTATTCCAGGAATCGGGAAATTTAATTTTTAGTGAGACAGCCCATTCATAAGCAAAAGTTCTTATCTGTTTTGGTGATAAGCCAAAGTATACATCGGCAGCCTTTAATATATATTCCTCTAATTGTTTCTCTTGGTCGTCGGAGAAAACCTGAAAATGAAGAAAATGTATTAAATAATTCACAAGCACACTGTTTACTAAAGTGCCCAATAAGTAATTATATTTTTTTACCTGTCTATTTTTTATAAAGCCGACTGCAGTTGTAGGTAGTTCATTAGTGCCATAAAGCTCTTCATCCGTGACTTTCTGCAGAAATCGTCTCAGGGTTCTTTCAGGGATATCGTAATCGGTTCCTGCTCCTCTAATGGATTTATTATTTAATTTGACCTCTCTTGCAGCCCTTAGCATAATGTGTGCTGGTGTCTTACCCCTTTCAGTGGTTCTTTTACGGTTTCTCATATTCTATGAAGATAATAAAACGTTTTTATATATGTTTTTCCAAATTATATGTGTTGAGTGTAGGAGTGAAATATATATTTATTATTATGTATACTCACTCTTCTTTGTACAAATTGATCTACAAAGACTTTATTTTTTACATATATTGATTTATTTTAATTTATGGCATAATACGATAAAGAGTTACAAGTGGTTGGAGATAACAGTTATGTGTTACTCGTTCGCAAGTTGAGACGAATCTGTCATGCTGTCGACGTATACAATATTTTTCGCATGCAGCTATGTGTTTAATATTATCCAATGCTATTCTATTGGTTGATTAGGGAAGAGTAGGAGTGTTAAGAAAGGTTTAAATGCTAAGGTATAGATAGGACGTCATAAGGGTGGAGCTAAAGGGAATAAGTCGAGAGTAGGCGTGAAAGTGAAAAGTGGATACAGGTTAGGTCCAGTTAGATGCAAATGTGAAGCTCAGGTAGCGATAATGAGCGTAAAAGTTGAAAGGGAGATTTCCAGATAGAGATAGCTAATAAGGATGAAAAGCGGTAAACAGGAAGTTGCTCGTCATCACAGTAATACGGGGATTTACTTTTGTTTTACCCTTGTTATTTTTCTATTTACGTGGAATACGAGTAACTTCTATAGTTTACATCGGATACAGGTGGTCATTCGCTATGATTATGTTAGAAGTTAAATTATTCATGCTAAGCTTATCGTTAAAATTACGTATATATAAATAAATACATTTTTGCGTCGCAACAATATGATTTAAAATCCAAAGTGGGGATGGTTGCCGCATGCGGCAACCTGCCCCTCAACAAATACGGCGACCGACCCCAAAGCGTTTTTTAAAATACTTTTGCGTTTATTTTTTGTCTGGTAACTAAAGTGGTTATTAAAAATATGTTACTAAAAAATAGATTTCCGTAGAATTCTGACGGTCTACTTCGTTTTATATTCTTACTTTTACATCAAAAGTTATAATAAAAACAATAGAAAAAATAAATTCACTTACGAGCATCAAAATAGCACTTGACGGCGTGCACTCACTTCTATTGCACTGATCAGACTGAAACGTTCCACAAAGTTCGGGCGCGACTTAAGCTTTAAAACACGAGACGCGGCATTGTCGCCATATTTATAGTTTTGGGGAAAAAGCCAGTGCGGCTACCAGCCCCGGTCTCCCCTACAAAGGGCTCGTGAATCAGGTGACTTAAGACCTCACAGAGGTCCAAGTCCGCACGATCAAATACAGGTCCGCACTGAAATACTTGTCGGGAGGATACTTTATAAAACAAGGTAACATTTTTTTATTTTTTTTTTATTTTTACACACATATTTTGGTTTATCTTCCTTCTACAATCATTATCTGAAAATTAATGACTCAACTTCAAAGTCACCCTGTATATCTGATGTCTTTGTGATATCACTTCTATATATAATTGTATTGTTCCTGTGATTGGGTGTATCTTGTAGGAGTTGGAATAAAGATTATTATTATATATCCAGTATGAGGTTTATAAGAAAAAATAAAGGCGATGATTGAGGATAAGAGACGAAACGTCATATTGAAATTCGAATTATGCCATCTTATAGAGAACAAGATGCAAAATTATTCTAATTTATATTTTCCCATCCCATCTGAAATAAACTCCGGAGAAAGTAAAAATGATTTTGGAAAAAATCAGTTCCTTTTATCTGTCTCCGAAAACACTCGGAATTGCGAAACTTTTTAAGTGCCATTTTCTTAGTTTCCTAAATGTGCAACTTTGTCCCCAGTTCCTTTCTCTTACCAAAAATGATGAATGAAGACTTCTTACCTATATTGTGTCCACTCACAATCTTCCTAAGTCGCTCATTCTCAATACTCAACAGATAGTTCTTTACTCTCAGTCTTCTGTTATTTTCTCTCAGAGCAAGCAGTTCTGCTTCCATTTGCAATATTTTCTCTTGTTTCCTCCTCCTACATCTCATTTGAGCAGCTCTATTCATTTCTTTAATTTTTTCCCGTTTGGGATCATCTAATGTTGTTCTTGGATCTGGACTTTGAGCTGTAGTTGGTGGGCTCTCATTATCCAATCCTTTATTTTGTGCCACTTTGTTCACCTTTTGCTTCAAGCGATCCACCACCAAGTCTCGTGTGGTGCTTGCTGGAATTAAAAATAGCAGTATTTTGTTGTTTGCAATTAAAAAAAAAAAAGAAAACAGTACAGATGAGAAACATTAGTCAGTGCAGTTCACTGGAAAGCTTTGAAATAATTTTGACAAGGCGATACTTCTATAGATTTCAGAAAGAAAGAAAATATTAACCAGCAAAGGTTACCATAACAAGAATATGTAGAAAATCCTCCATTAGTTCAATGATCTGATAGTTTTACTTGAAATGTTTTGAGAAAGTTTTTTTAATCCTTTTCGACAACCTCTTACTGCGCGATAGCAAAGTGAAAAGAGAACGTCAATATGTATAGGGATATAAATCTGACAAAATTCCCGTGAAAACTTCAGTCTCTCTATATGTATATAAATGTGAGATGTCTATCCAAAATGTAATCATTACATATGAACCACAATACAGAAAGTGTCAAAATTTTCTAAAAGAACCCCCTTTTTTTACATCGAAATTGAAGAAAGGAGGAATTTTTACATCCAAGTATGGCCATTACCATGACCTTAACTACTCGTATGTCCTTCCAGTTCAAGATCTAATTATTAAAACATTGAAAACAATATGCTCTATCAAGAATGTTCATCAGCACAACTGTTAGGTTTTCGAGAGATCACCCAAATGTGAACTTGAACATGACCTTCAAGGTCAAGCAACCACATTTTTACACAGTAAATGGAAAAGCAGAAAATTTTGTCTGAATGTGACTTTGGCCTCAAAGTCAAGGTAGTGTTTAGCTTAAATGTTTTTTCATGTCAAAGTTACATTTGGATGAAAATTTTCCTGCTTTTCTCATTTCCAGTATAATAATATAAATTTTGAATTGAAGTTGGTCAGAGTTAAGGATACCTTTAGATGACCCCCTCCAACCTCAAAACGTGCTGCCAAACATGTTTGATATAACTATAAATTATTTCTAGTCTTAATTTGACCTTGAAGAATCTGGTCAAGATCATGTCCAAGGTGTCATGTAAATATATGTGATTTTTCTCCACTATTCAATTCCACTACCATTTGAAATGATCCTGGAGGTTGTCGTCAATGTAACCATTGCTTTGTTCCCTTGGAACTGTACAACTTTTGTTTTCACCTTTTTTATTAGTTTGTAGTTTTTGAAATATTTAGGTGGACAGATTAAAATCGGACATATGGCTGTATATTTTTGATGGGTTGAAATATTTGGGATACTACCTGTGTTCATGTTAGAGAAAAAAAAAACAGACATGGAAGTTATCTTTTGCAAGATTATCAGTGGCAACATGTTAAAGAGAAGCTTTCTTTACTAAGGCTTATCAATACTAAGATAAGTAGATAAGTATGTATACCTGCTCCTTCTGGTACAGTTAATAGAAACTCATTTGAGTTAGAGTCTTCATCTGGTTTTGATTTAATCTTTATATTTCTTTCCTCCAAATGAGGCAATATATGTGGTGTATGTAGAGAATCATCACAGTTTTGTCCTGGAGGGACTTCCAGCGTAGTGCCATTCTTTACAGCTTCTGCAGCCTTTTTGAAGACCTCATCAAATGGATTTACGTTTTGTAAGTCTTGGAACAATCCCAATTCTTCACAATTCTTAATAAACCTGAAATGAGAACAACATGCAAGATTAAGTTTAATAATCAGTACTCAACACTTAATGCAACTGCAAAATTTACAGAATATTATCATGAAAATTTAAGGTAAAATGTGTTGTTTTCTGAAAACAATGCTAATAAAGAGGTTCTTGGAGTTTTTGCTTATATTTATAAAAAAGTATCAGGTCAATTACTACATGGTGCACCCAAGTGAACAACTTGAGATAATAGATAAGAATGATAGATAATTTCAAATTCTGTTTTCAATGTTTTTACATACTTCTGCCATCATATTGTACTTCTATCTAGCTAACCCCAATGTACTTGTCAAAGTTTTAGAGATATCTGTGATGGGGTACTGTCATGTTTTCCTGTCTATTAGATCACTTGTACTTTCTAATGGCTTATTGTAAGCAACTACTGTTCTGCCCACACTGATACTACTTTATAGGCACTCATGAAATACAATTACCAGAACAAGACAGGGTGTGCAGTATCTCACTATAGCGATAGATTCACAGTTGCTGGGGCTAGGGACGTCACAAACAAAGAGTAAATGATTGGCCAAAGACTGAAATCTATGGACACTCGACTCCTTAGAGAGCATGACAATCATTTTGTAAATGTTTATATGGAATTTAAAAATATATTTATGGGTGTCGAAACTCATTTCATTCTGTTTTCGAGGATTACTAAAGACGAATAAATCTAAACGCTCCATATCACATAAATTCAGCATCATTGGAAGTATTAGTATATTTTTTTGATATGTCAACGCACTAGATCTACCCTTTAATTATACTGACATCACTCTGGTATATCCTGTATAAATGTTAGAACAGTAGCCAACCTAGTTGGTGTTGGAGTTTGATCTGCAATTTCTGTAGCTTTTGTCAAACCTAGATTCAACATTACTTCGTGTCTTTTGTTGTGGCAAATCAAATGATCTTCGTTTGTGAATGTCATTGTACAATTCTTAATGCTGCAGACAAAAGGCTTCTGCGTTTCGTTCATCACTTTTTACAACAGGTTTCATAATAACCATCAACAATAATTAAAAATTCAGCAATTTTGACAGTTTAATTAACAAATATAACCTATCTCTGAATATGAGACGACAACCAGACGTCAAAGTGCAAGGTGGATCTATCATACGTGCTCACTACTCATAGCTCATAACAAATAAGGAACTCCATACTCTTTCTCTTTAAATAGAAGATTGAAAAAAAATCTACATACGAGATGACGCTGACAATTATTTTGTGGTGTCCTCCCTTGGCGAACCGTTAAACTGTACAGTTACAGGATACTACGAACGATGTAAAGGTAGCCACATACGCTGTCATTATGGTTTCCGTCTTACCCAACATTCTAAACTGTAATGCCTACCTACAGAATCGCAATCACAGGGGAAAAAGCGAACGAATCACCGTAGGAGGTAATCTACAGGGGTATCACGTATCTTGAAAAGTAACATCAGGTTGGGTTTTTAACGTACGTTAAACTTAGCACTAGCTGATGGACACTTGATGTAAACTCGATTTGAAATGATACACGTTGCTTAAGTTATCAATGTTCTGGCTCTGATGTAATGTAACATCGGCTTCAGAGATGGCATTATTGGAGGCCTAAGCTGTAATTTGTATTCCATAGCTGGAAGGAAATGGCAGTACATAGGTGCATAGTGAGGATTTGTCTGCTAATAAATATGTGTTGATGATAATTCTTTGGTTTCTTGTCTCAAATTCAAATTCACTTACTTGAGATTTAAAGCTAGATATCAGTTGCGCATTCACTTTTTCTCATTCATTCTGGAAATTGCATATGCAAATTTGCTGAATTTTAAAATTAAGAGAGATACGAAAAGAAAATCCCTGATTGGTGAAGTAACAGGTGTGAAAATATGCTACAGACAGGAATATTTATGGAAGTGAAGAGGTTATTACATTATTTCTTATTTCCAGTCATTCAAATTTTATAGATTTAAACAATAATACGAATCACCGCCTAGATGTGAGGCACTGCGAAAATGTTAGATGCGTCATTCCTAATTTTTCTGTGGTGTGGCTTAATTGTATACAACGCTGGCGATATGAATGGGAAAGTAGACGTAGCAGGTACTGAATATAGTAAACTAGACATACCCACCATTGATCCGTCAAGCTTCAGGTCAGTCTCCTGTCGCTGTGGTCAAAATTAGTTTGTCAAAATAACAAATTCCAGCAATCATGTATCATATTATTTTCGGGCAGTTAATAAATTCAGTGTGTGCCAAAAAAGGAAGAGTGTTAGTCAGCAACCAAATAAAGAAGTATTTAAGTCTTGATAGGCCTAACTATTCACAAAAATTAGTCAAACACTTGTTCCTACCACAATCAGCTGACATCCAGAAGAAATGCTACAATTATGCCAAAAAACTGTTGAGCACGAACCGTTTGAATCATCAGCGGGAAGGTAAATCCTCCAAGGTTCATGGTGGAGACGCGCCTGGTCGTCATCAGTTCCCCAAAGAAGTGGAGGATGCTTGTAATGGTCAGGCTATGGACGAATTTTCAGCAGCGTTTACGTATTTGTCTATGTCCTGTTATTTTGGTCGGTATGTAATCTGGAAATGGAATGTTGTAAATGCCCCATATACGTATATTCATAATAGTCCAATAATTTGGTTTTCAAAATAGATGAAGTCCAGAAATCTTCGGATCCACCCCGAAAAATATTCTGTTTCGGTTTTTTGCATAACCTTATTCAAAACAACCCTTTTAAGGAATCTGCATGTGGCCCGGCCCAAAATTGCAACAAGAATTGTCTCCACAATTTTTTTGTTTCTTGAGTTCTAAACAAAAAAGCTTCATATGAACTTTTTTCTAAAATTGATAGTTTCCGAGATAAACGCGATCAAATATTCGAAAAAGTGCGAAATATGACATTTTCGATCCCAAAAGAACAATATGATGAAACGGCGACAGGTAGTTTGACTCTTCCCACGCATCCTGTTATCATTTCATAAAGGATTATCTTCGGCACACGTTAGAAAAGTTAGATGGGAAAATGTATAACAAAAGACTAAATGGATCAAGTTACGTCAGACCGACTCATACAACTGAAATTTCCATGTTCAGCATCATTTTGCGTACACTTTTGAGGATTTGACCTCCATTAAGAAAATTCGCACGCCCGCCCTTCACAAAAATTTATCTCTTGCCGACGAATGCTCCCCTGCCTCGTTGAGGAAAATTCTAGCGGGTGCTCGTCATCCACGTATCGGGTAGTACGGCAACCATACGGCAGTCATCGCGAAACCCCATCGGCCGGGTCGCGACGCAAGTATATCCGGAGATACGTGTCTTTTGAAAATATTTATCAAACACTAAATCATCAAGTTTGAAGGGCGAATGTTCAGGGAAATCTAAGATGTGTAGCATGCTCCCACAATTTGCTGTTTTCTCTGTGATAAAGCGGTTATAACAAATGGCACCAAGTAGGTCGATTTTGCACCTTCCACATAACATAGACGTCAGTTCAAAAAAGATTATTTCGGCCTACCTATAAGATAAAGTTTATTACGAGCAAGTATAACAGGGGAATTAGATGAATCAAATCATTCAAATAGACTCAAAAAATGAACTCTTAGTCCCACACTTGACAACATTACTATCGATCACAGTTGCGGCAGTGTTGCCAAAGTTACCGATTTTTAGATATCTCTACCGAAATAGAACTTTATTTACCGAAATACCAAAAACACCGTCATTTTTTACAATTTTTTATAATAATTTAGACATTGCCAGATTTTTCACCAAAAAAGCTGGAACCCAGAATAAAGATAAAAAAAGAATTATATTTAGATTTATGCCGCAGGCCAGTTATATCTACATATGCGTACACTTAGGCAGTCGGGCACACGAGGAACGTAGATTTGAGTTGCCTGCTTTGTGTATAACAGAGGTACAGACTAGTAGATCTGTTTTTAATTAAATATTAAATACAAGTACCAGGTGACGAAGCTTCAAATTCAGGTATAAATCAGAAAAATACTCACAATCGTATAACCAAGAATGGACAAAGGCATTTCAATGATGGTTGCAAAGAAGTTTGAAGAATATGCTCATTGTATAAGTTGTAATAAAGAAGTCAATATTTCTTCAGGAAAACAAGGTCTGAAAACCAGTTGTGTGTGCCCCCGCAACACAAAAATATATTTGTTTGAACCAACGCTGATCTTGCGACGGCTCTGATTCTTCTCCGACCGATTTCGTCCTTAAATCTAGCGAATTTCAATGGCAGTCAGCCGATTTCATCTTCTTCGATTCGGCAACACTAAATTGCGATGATTAAAGGTCGATTCACTCTCAGCCGTGGCGTAACATTGCCGTGACGTGAGCTCACAGTGTTTTCAATTCACACCTGTCAGTATTTTTTCCGTGCTCTGACAGTGCAGTTGTGTTCACGTGAGGTCAAAATTTTCAGAGGATGAACTTGCAATTATTGCATTAATTCTGGATAGAAGAAGAAGAAGAAACGAGAAGAAAACGGAAGTCCATAGTATTTTGAATTTGACTGGTTCTACAGCACGAATGTGCTCGCACAAACTCAATTAGTTTTTCATCATTCATGTTTTTGACCAAATATGTATCAAAATATTCACGAAATTACATAAAAACACGTCCATGAAAATCGAAAAATATCCTTCCAAAACAATGCGATGACCACGGTACGGCGTCGTCAAGGGCACTGAGAACGCGGCGACTTCCACGTACCGGTCAAGTGTGAATCAGTTCATCCAAATTCCAGGAAGAATGTTTTCAGTTTAGCCGGGCGAATCACGTGCGGGTCACAGTACCTACTGTCACGTCACGGCTGAGTATGAATAGGCCTTTAGTCTCATCAGTAGCCAGGACGCGACCAGTAAACACAATAGGGAGTTATTGAAATACTGCCATCCACTACTACTACCGACTTTACACTGTTAATGACAAGTGACAAGTAGAGACTGATCTTAAAAATGTTTCAAAATTAGAGTTACAGGGTGCATTTTCGTGAACAATTTCTAACCTAGAAATATTGGGATAGAATAAAGTTTTATCTTGCTTAAAGTGTACCAAGACTTAATAAATTCCAATAATATTAATTATAAAATTTTGCTATTGTTTTTGTCCTTATTCGTGTTTTGCAACTTGTTGGAGGTAAACATAGGTCTTTTTGGGTTGAACTTTACGGCCAAGTGGTCCATAATTTCTACCAATTAAACTTACAATCAGCGAACAGTACAAAATAATAGCGAGAAGATGGCGAATTCAACTACTTTCCGTATATAATTTCTTTTATCTACCAAAACTATAAAATGTAAGATTATGCACCATAAAAGGAAGAAAATAGTCTTGGTTGTTGCACGATTTTAAGCGTCCTATAATAGTAGGCACTAACTTTATTAATTCCGTGTCTTATTTTTGTTTTACTGCGCCTGCTCAAATGTCAAATAAGGCCAGGAACTATTATAGCCTGACTTTATTGGGCGTTCAATGACTCCCTATTGTCGGCTCTGCGAGGGTATTGGCAATATTTCTGTGATACTGTCTTGAGGGCAAATCTGCGAGCAAATCTACGGGTCAAGTTATCTTTTAGATCCCACGTAGCTCTACCTGGTTGTCAAGGCTATTTCATGGACATGTTTGAAGAAGAGTTAAAGCATGCAGTCATATTTACAAATTATATTTTACTCCGAGGTGGCCAAGTGAAGCTTTGTTGTGTCCAGGTATCTGAGGAGCACGACTGGATGTCTGTGAAGAATGCTTTTAATGCTGCGCTGGATTTAGAAAAAAGCGTCAAGGAGGTAAAAAGAGATCTTCTAGCCTAAGGCGCATGGAAAGCTTTATAGAGTCTTAGAAAGTTAATGTAACATAACGAGTTCCGATAGTTTCTGGTAGTGATGGCACTTGCGCTGTCGTATTTCTTCCCGAAATCAGTCATAATCGCACCTCTGTAATATAGGGTGGCCAATATATAACTGACTGATTTAAATTGCGCGCCATTTTTGATATACGCATTTCAGTAGTTGGCGCCGTAGTAGTTGCACCTGTGTCCAATTCATTCTCGACGAGTCACAGTTTGGTGCGGTTTGGTATGCAGGTGTCATTGGACCTTACTTCTTTGAAGACACTGCAGGTAATTCTCTTACTGTCAGTGGCGAGCACTACCATGAAATGGTGCAAACCTACTGCTCCTCAAATCCAACAATTTAACCTGCAAAACATGTGGTTCCAACAGGACTGAGCAACGGTTACACAGCTAGCGAACAATGTTTCCGGGAGGTTTAATTTCTTGATCTGGATGATGTCAACTGGCCACCAAAGTCACCGCATTTAACGGCTTCTGACTTTTTTATGGGGATTTTTGAAAATAGGGCTTATGTCAACCAATCAAATACTGTAGAGCAGCCGAAGAAGAATATTACGGAAGCGATTGAAAATATTCTTCCCGAAACCTACCAAAAAGTGATGAAAAATGTAATCAAGGGGGCTCAGGTTTGAACGGCTTGTAGAGGCGGACATTTGTCTGATATTATTTTTCATACATAATTTCTAAGTTTTAATAAAATATTAATTTGAAAAAATGGACGTATGTTATTTCATTTCACAAATATTCAAGATACAAACCAGTCAGTTACACATCGGCCACCCTGTATAATGTGATCATATTTTGAACGATTTTTCCATGCTATTCCACTTCTAAGGTTTCAATCCTCTCCAAAAATTGCCGTTACATCAAATAGCTGGCCATCAAGAAGATACGTTAAAACCCAGTTTCAGTATCCTGACAAGGTGTAAGCCGTTGGCGTTCGATTGCGTTCGCTCTTTGATCGGTACATCAAAGGGAGGTTTGATTTAGTCTGGACAGGGTTTGCTGTACTAGTATTTAGTCGTTTATCTGCATTGGATGAGAGGTGACTCGTTGCTCGAAATTAGCACCGAACTTAACCCAACGCGGTCCAACTCGAAACTAAATTTAGGTGTAGACGGCGTGCAGACGAGCGCATTCCAATACCTTCCAACGACAAACGCCAACGTCACATGTGCTTGCTTTCGCCTGCTCGGCATTGGATTTTCGGTCTGTACGCGGCCATAGACTATTTCAATCTCTATTTGATTCTAGAAATTAATGGTGGTATATCAAAAGGCAGAAAAACATCATGATCTTCAGCTGGTGGACATGATTTCGACACAATTTATGGAGGAACAGGTACAATTCTCTTGGTTTTTGAAGTTGTTCGTAACTAAGCGATAAAGTTACAATATTTTCCTGATAATCGTGTTCCAATATTTTCCTAATCATCGCTGTGTTAGTCACGGAACATCGCAATCGTGTTTTGCCCGTGCGTTTAACCTGTTCTTTGAAAAGAGATGTCGCTGGGCTGGACTAAACTACTTGTATCTTGTATCATGTGTTTTGACGCTGAGTAAATGAGATTTAAATACATCATCAGCGTTGCCAGATTTGTCGCAAGAAACGATAGAACAAGCATTTCAAAATCGTATACAGTTGGTGAGTCTTATGATTTTCTGCTAGGGAGGGAAGGGGAGGGGGGGGGTATGCGAGAACGTAATTGTTGGATTTATTTAACACAATTTAGCAACAGGGAGTAAAAAGAACTGTTTCGAAAAATTATGGGATATTTTCCTTTCTATTATTCGCAGGTTGTAATTAATAATTATGATATCACTATAGCTGTTGATGTAGAGACTGCTGAGGAATTTCAACAAAAAACGACAACAGTAGCAACAGAGTTTATATCATGGTGCCAGATAAATTCTTTAATAGTCAATTTTAGCAAACCCGTGATCATGCAATCTTATTCAGGCGCCACACTACGCCGAAAAATACAAACTTTAACATTCAAAGTAAATCCAGATGTTGGTAGTGTTTCCCACTCTACTTTTCTTGGCTTGCACCTGGACAGCGACATGAGCAGAACGACAAATATTAAGCAGCTTTGCAGGACAATGAACAAGAATTACTGTTTTTCCCCAATTGAAAGGTTGGCTTGATATCACTCAGTTATTGAATAGACATTTTTTTTGATACTTGAACCACCACGAATGCCTAAGGCCCAAGTACCGTGGGAAATGGAGGATGCCACAGGGACTCTAGCGAGAGAACACATGTGTATGCAATGCACACATTCTGATACCCTCACGTCCGACAACCAAGAGAAAAAGAGGTCACTAAAAGAGCTTCTTCTGAAAGATTGCTTCTATTCTGTGTAAGAATTCTTAAATATGTAACTTGTTATACTTTTTAATGAACTTCTATTTTATCATTGTGTATTATTTGATTCAACCTGCTCGTTTCACTTGTACTATGTTCTTATATAATCTTAAGTGCAGCTTTTAAAATCATCAAATGACATGTCCAATGTCTTTTTAAGATTTGCAGGATGAATACATTTATTATTACTATCATTATTACAATTTAACTGTTGTTATGCACGTAGTTACGTGCATCGTACAGTAAGTGAAATTGTCGTACAAATACGATAATTATCGTACGTTTGGCAACGCTGATACATAATAAATCGTTCACTTCACAGTGACATCGCACAGAATAAGAAATTTTCTCCATCTCTTGGCAAAGAGCGTTGCGAACGCACCGCACACAACTACACAATTTATTGTTTATATATCATATTCTGTGACTAATGTAGAACGGTGTTAACATACCCAGAACTTTTGAGTTTAATCACACGCCAATTTTTCCAGAACGAATCCATCAAACAATTGGCGAGATTGGTGACTAAAGCACAGATGACTGATACCAAAGTTGGAGAACATCTGTTCGATCAAATGATGCATTCAACGTTTGTTAAAAAATCAAACATGATGTATAAAAAATCCATTGAAGGTGATCCCGAGGCCAAGGATATAAATAAACGACAGTGAAAAAGTTTGTTGTTATTGTTATGAACTAAATATTTGAAGAATACGGGGTGTGACAATTATGTTCCGAAGACTTAGCAACAACATGGGAACTTGCAATGCTGTGTCGTTTGTCAACATCTTTCTAGATAGGTGACGTTCCTTTTTAGTTTCAGTTCAAGGTTAATGCGATAGTATGTTTGCTTTATGTTCTGTAAATATTTATCGAAAGTGAAATTTAGACGGTGCGGAAAAAGAGAGTGGATCACGTTACAAACAACATTAATCTTCGGCAAATCTATAAACCGGGAGTCTCAAATTGAGCACTCAAAGTTGCGCATGAATGAAACTAAGAACATGACACTTAGAAAGCTTCGCAATTCCGAATATTACCTGAGATAGACGAAGAAAATTGAAGGACTTAATCGGATAAGCATGCCAGCTATGAAAATAGTTTTATTATAATACCCAACGTCGATGTATGACATATTATACATTTTTGGAAATATAATTAAAAACTCTATCAACCTATGCATAAATACAATGTGGCATCTTTAAGAAAAAATAATGTTGATGATTGAGGACGAAAGAAAACAATATATTGAAATTTTAGTTATGCCATCTTGTAGAACAGAAAAAGTGGCAATTTTAGCGTACCTTTGATTTTAAAATCACATCTCAAATAAAAGCGATTTCTGAGAAAATTCGAAAATACTAGGAGTTGCGTAACCACTTTCTTAGTTACCTTCATGCATAATTTTGCCCTCGTTTAACCGATTCCGTATCTCTTACCGTTTCCGAGATCACAATGCCGAGAGTCGAATTTGAAACCGTCGGTATATAAATATAGATATGTAAAATCTCTGTCCACTCTGTCAGAATCTCGTCTGAACCACCTTACGGAAGACGTAAACATTTTGGACATTTACTAATTGATGCTCCAGCAAGGTTACAGGCATGGTTTTTTCCGCGAACGCATATTCGACGATGCAGTCATCTGTCATGGCAAGTACCAAAATCTCCACTGTGAGGGTCAAGCCGGCAACAACGTGGCCAGCCATCGCCTCTACATGGGGTCAACTACTGCCTGAAAACCAGCAATACGCGTTAGATGGCAGTGTCGCATTTTGCATTGGTTTCCACAGAGTCGCAAAATCTACTGCTTGTAAAACCCTAAAGCAGAAGGCTAGTAGGTAAATAAAAAAAAATGGCGCTGAACGATATGGTATATATTTTTTCTAGTACATGAGATGAAGTGTATATAATTGTAAGACCTTATATGTGTGCCATAAAAATGGGTTACCACACTGTCAAGTGTAAAGTGTGGAAAATTGACATTGCTTATTGCTACAACTCTTTTTATAATAAAGCAAGGTAAACAATTTTTAGAAATTCCACTGTATACGTATATCTCATCTTCCCTTGAAGCAAAGTCGAAGCAGGTGGAAGGGAAGTTCGTCTTATCAATGCCTAAAGCATTATTTGTCAGTTAACATTGTGATATTCACGCACAGATATACATGTCCAAAGTGCACTACTTTAAAAAAATATTTAATCTTTCAATTTTTGGTCGAACATAAAGACACCAAGTCCTTCGCCAACCCTCTTCAGATTGGTCACGTGGTCGCTGATCTCTTTAATGGCATCCACTTGTTCTTGTAGGTAGTGATTCTCCAGGAAATCGCACATATTCGCATCCGAGTTCAATGTTGCTATACCATGCAGTTTGAGCAGTGCCTAAAAAACACAATTATTGAAAATAGTAGGACATTGTTAAAAGAAATCTTCATTTCGCGAGGGATAACTAGTTCTACCACAAAATTGGTGACCCAGAAGCTACACAAATTGCCCAGTACAATTGTCAGTCTCCGACACATAAGCGATCGGTTACGGCCGGTCGCGTGCATTGCCCATTACAGCGTCAAGCGGCGGTTCGGACTTATCGGTTCTTTCCAACAATAAATTTCCGATCATCCCGAGCGATCCTATACAGAAGACGAAATAAGAACAGCTCATATCAGGGCAACGTCAGATCATTCATTTTTATGTATCTAGTCTCTGATAGTCAGACATTGTGTGTTTGAAATAAGGGGATTATTCACTGGCGGGGGTAAAATAACTTGTAGGTACGATACCTCAGCAAGATAATGCATATTGAGATGCGCCCACTATATAACCCAATCGTCATTCGGCCTGAATTGTGTAAATCTACATATATATATATATATATATAGAAATGAATCCCTTTTTTGCGTGGTCACGCCATAACTTGAGAACGACTTTACCGATTTCATTCATCTTTTTTTTAAGTTTCCTAACGCTGTATAGAAGGTTGTTACGGAAAGAAAAGCCAAGAAAATTGAGCACGCACAGCAGAAGAAATATCTCAAGTACCAAAAGAGACAGTCACTCCCATCTTTATTCCAACAGCTATTGATACTTAGCTATGTAAGAGAAAATTGCTTATGAAAACAGGGTGCTTTTCGTTTTTTGACTCACATTTCTTTTCCTTCCGTACTTTGTGATGGCCCTTTTAAAAGAAACTGCAGTGTTGCCCAATTGTTATCTTTGTCAGTTAGCTCTATGAATAAAAATGGCGGGTGAATATACATTTTTTCTGCTTAATTGACTTTCACTACTCGACACAAATCAAAGAATAATTTGTGCTACTCTATCATTTTGAACTTGACAGCTCGCACGCCGCAAATTTATATTATACAGTGTTTATCGATGAGAAAATATTGATTTAATTAATTAGTAGTGCACAGTCCATACAATTAGAGCTTTTATTCTGTTTTCAGTTTGTTCAGTGAGTTTTTTGAGAAGAATTTGTTCAAAAATAATTAACAAGGGTGGAAGTTAGTTCACCGCAATCACGACTTATATTAAAATTGTGATTTTTCAAAAGGCCACCAATTAGACGTACCAACCTAGGCCGCAGAACTCGCAATGGTACAAGTCAAAGATATATACGAAGAAGTCAAACTGACGAGCAACGAGAAGCAAGAAATGAAGTCGAACGGATCGAAGGACTGAAATCCAACAACGTAAAAGTATCGCATTCAATCCTAATCGAGCTGCATTCAATTATGACGTGGCAATCGATTACAGTTCACAACAAATCGTTGCTCTTGGACCAATGAACATTGGATTATGTTGCGTCAGTGAAAAGATCAAATTGACTGCATTGGTACTACCACCAGAACCACTACATTCATTCGTTTCCAGAAATGTGCCAGATTCTATACATTTTTTGACTAATATCCAGCAATACAATACTTGCTTTCAAATGACGTCATTTGGTGCAACAAAATTTATCCCTCATAATTTTATGCCTACTTTCAAGGTAAGTTGATGGGGGAGTGACAGTGCTACCAACGTATTTTGCTAGACACATGGCTGTACAAAAAATTCGTTATAATTACCTATATTCCATATATTTACCCTTTTACTATTCATTATTCATCGCAGTTCATAGCTAAGACAGGACAGCGTCTGTCGGGTCGGCTAATGTTAAATATAAACATTTTGACAAAAAATATCAGTGCAATATTTTAATAGGATGATAGCTCATTTGGGCATAGTCGTACAAGACACTATTTCCATGGAAAATTGCTGAGTTCTTTGATGCAGCCATCGATTTATTCGAATCTTTTTCGAGAATCATATGAGAACTGAATAGAAAAAGAGGAACTAACTAGGTTGTATCAGTACGTCTGACACATTAGGATCTCATTATTTGTACACTATTTCCATAAATGATTGTTAAGTGAATCGAATTGTGCAGATTTCTTTATACCTAGTTGACCAATAATTGTGGCTCAGAGATAATTTAGCTACAGAGGGATTCTAAGCGCTGTTGGTAATATAATATATAACTATACATGTCTGTTTTCAGAATTTTCGGACAACCTTCATTCCTATTATTGCCCGAAATTACCAGAAGGTAGAAAAACGTCAAATAAATCTTCGATTTCCTTAGGTGTTGCTCACATGACTTTTGTTCTGCGTTAAAAAATAATCAGCACCTTCAAAAGAACCGGTGAAAATAACGACATAATCCGGGATCCTGTGCTTTGATAGTAAGAATGATCGGGAAAGAGTTAAATATGACTCTCACCACCATTCATCAGATTAGAAACATCACGATAATCCTCCTTGTCACACAGCAATGTCAATAAACGAGTTTTTGACCAGTAAAAACATGCCGGTGGCTCCAATCGGCCTTCTTATTCGCCTGACTTGAGTCCTTGAGACTTTTTTCTTTTCCGGAAGTTGAAAGATCACCTCAAGGAAACTTACTTTGGGACAGTAGAAAACATTCAAACGGCTGTAACCAGCTGAAGGCTGTTCCAGTATCGGAGTTCCAGCACTGCTGGCTTTAGAAGGAAGTTATTTTGAGGGAGGCAGTATAAAATATACAAAATTGTAATTACATTTGACGGAAAAAATTTAAAAAATCAGTCTTATCTCTTAATTTACAGATCTCGTAAATGGATTTCACTGTAGATGCGGCTCAGAAGCTCTACACGCACTACATTTGCAAGAGTCACGCTCTCCATACAGCCAGTAACGGATTCATACGAATGCGTGTCTTCTCTTATAGAGTTTAACCTCTTATTTCTGGACTTAATTAGTTTGCTGTAAGACGCTAACCTCATTAACAGTCTTTTCTAAACATAACGCATCCTTCATTGCTTCTTCAGCGGTTGCCCACGTTTGCTTCGCAGGTGTCTTGATATCCTCTAAAACAACCCTTCCTCCTCTTTTGTTTTGGTACTCCATAAGTTTGTAGGCGTGTTCTCGCTCCTCTTCTGATGCTTCTTTGAAATATTTGTAGAAACCCATCAATGCTACATCATCTCTGTGGAAGTGGTATGCCTGTAGAAAAGCAAAAGGATAATGAAGAGGCAAAATTAATGTATCATGTATTTATGGGTTGTGGATCTTTGTCGAAGTCCTCCAGTTGAAAGGGCACTAGGTGGCCGAAAGGTATTGACCTTATTTCAAGAGATCCAAAATTATGAGTTTTATTTAAATTCTGAAATAACGTTTCTTGCTTAGTTTCGATTGAAATGCCAGATTTTGAGAAACAAAGATTTGGTGACAACAGAATAAAAAACATAACGCATTTACGTAAAATTTTTGAAAATACTGTGCCCTGGTGTCTCGATAAAACAGAAAGTTGTACTCGAAGAGTTACTTAAAAATGGTTTGTTTCATAAACAGACTTTACATTACACATTAAATTTGAATGGATTTTAATTTGTGTTAAATATTCTTTCTCGTAACATGCATAAGGATTGTGTCAGGTTACCTATCTTATTTTCTGCTCGAATCCACTTTCCTTCTTTTTGCGGATTTTGCCCATTATTTTTCTATTCCTTGTTATATACCTTTCTCCGCATGATCATTTTCTTCTATATATCACGTATTAAAATTATTTCCTATCCATGATTATCGGATAGGATGATAATGGTATATTCTGTTAGTATCAGACATATTCATAAAGGCAGTAAAAAAGTCATAAGCCCCTCTATTTATTCGTCTGTAATCTGAACTAGGTGTAAATCCAGAACCATCCTCGTTTTTACCACTGACTTATTTCCGTTTGGCGACGATCTTGGAATTCAAGTGGCTTACAACTTCCTTGGCATAAGCATGTGTGGGATATAGTGGTTATTCAAAAAGGCCATTTAAAAGTTACAGTGGACACGCGGTAATCCGGGCACTGTCTAATCTGGCGCCCCGTGTAATCCGACACGGCTATCACTGTTGAATTTACATAAAAATTTCGCAAACCTTTACTGATATAATAGCGGTCTAGGGAGCGTTCATTGCTTTTTCATTGTGTGTTACATATGCATACCTAATAACGACTTCACAAGCCCAAAAGCGAAAGCAAAAAGTACTGACAATTATATAAAAAAGTGATACTTTGGATTGCTCAAGTCGTAATGAATCCTTCAGCAGTTGAGCCAGTGAATACTGTGAAGATCGATCTACAATTTCAGATATTAAGAAAGAGGTCTTACTTTTCAGAAGAGTAAGGGGCAAAGCTTTAGTCTCGCGCTTTAACAACTTAAAATAAAAAATATGAATATTTGAGTATTTTATAAATTGACTGTTTCATATTATCCTTTGCATTTTTAGTTTTTGATCATTTATAATATCCTGTGAAACACTATTTTTACAACATATTTGCATTTGTTTGAACATTATTATTTCCTAAAGTAAATAAGTTTGATTATTATTTTTTGTGATTTCTATAGCACTGATGATGTCCCACGCCCTTTAATTGAAGGGCTTTGCATTTTCATTCAAACACATTTGACGTTATATATGTCCCGAATTGATTTGTTTGAAATTTCGTTGACAGATGTCATTATAATTCCTAGAGGGCGTTTTTGATAGACCCATATATTCTACACAGTTTTTCACTGAAAGAACATAACCCACATAGATTTCAAGATGGACGCCAAACGAAAATTGTTCGCTGGTGAAAACCATAGATCATATTAGAAAATTTTCCCGAAATAATTGTAAAGCCTGTTCTTATTTGTGCAAGTTGTTCAAGGGGATATTTAAAATATGGACTCATAAAATGGGTACACCAATTTTTGTGGGAAAACTTTTTATTTGACAACAAAGAATGAGAAAATGTTTTTTTTTGATTCAATCGAAAGTGATGACAGGAACAAAAAGCTTTTAACATATGATTTTTAGTTATTTATGAGACGTACAAGATGATACCACACGTAAAAGGATCCGACTAATAGCAAAAATGTTATGGCCAAAAAAACGAGGCAAAATGCAGGTTTTGGCACGACAATTTCTTGAAGTTCTTCAAATCCGTAGGAAACATACCTCTGAATAACAACAACAAAATTGGAGTATACTGGTCGAGTAGTTTTCTGAGAATGTCTAATTGCTTATCCCAAATGACCTGTTTTCCGGCCATCACTACTAATTTATTGAGCAATATACAGGGTTCGTTCAAAGATCATTTAATAGGAAAATACACGTATTTACCTTGCCAGTATGAATCACAAACTATTCCGGAAGACAAATGTTATTTTTATGCGAAAAACAAAGATTACGTCTTTTTCTTCTAAACATATTCAAATTTTTCGTATTTGTGAGTAATTCGCTACGAAAAACATTCGTTACGATACCCATTTTGAAAAAAAGCGGATGTGTCTATCATCTTTTGTTGCCAATTACTTACAAATACGAAATGCTTGAATTTGTTTAGGAGAAAAAAAGTAAGCCATCCTTTTTTGCATAAAAATAACATTTATCTTCCGGAATGGTCTGCGATTCATATCGGAAAGATAAACTAGTGTATTTTGCTATAAAATGCCCTTTGAATTAATGCTGAATATTGCTCAATAAAATAGCAGTGAAAACGGACAACAGGTGTTTTGGGATAAACAATTAGAAATTCTCAAAAACTACTTGACCAATCTACTCCAATTTTGTTGTGGTTATTGAGAAGTACGAATCCTACGAATTTGAACAATGTCAAATATCAGCAATACCAACAAGTGCCAAAACCTGCAGTTTGCGTCGGTTTTCGGCCATAACTTTTTTGCTATTGGTCGGATCTTTTTACTCATTTATCTCATTTTGTAGGTCTCATAAATACCTAAAAATCTCATATAGAGTTTCCTCGTTCCTGCCAACACTTTCGATTGAATCCTAAAAAAAACACGTTTTCTCATTCTTTGTTGTCGAATAAAAAGTTTTCCCACAAAAATTTGTGTTTCCATTTTATGCGTCCATGTTTTGAATACTCCCTTGAACAACTTGCAGCAATAAAACCAGAGTTTACAATTATTTCGCAAGCCAGGGGTATTTTCGACTAATACGACTAAACTGAAGATGTTTAGGTGATTCAGAGAGCGAAAGTGATTCTGGATTTACTTTAGATGATAATATGAAGGACAGAGACTATCGTCCGAGTGGTAGCAGTTGTAATAGTGACTCTGAACTAAAAACTTGGGTGAATTAAAAAGTTTGTGGCTTATGACCTTATTGCTGTTACAGATGCGGCTTATACTTTTTTCACGTAGGAAAACGATATTTTATATTAGTTTCACGATGCCGTTAGATAATGATTTTAGACCAAGTCGTTAGAAGAATATATCGTAATCTTAATTTATGAATGATAACGTAGGCCGCGAGTAACTTCAATACGTGCTAAAAGTATGTAAAAATTGTATGAGTGGCTGATGTCCGTCTTCACCAAATAAAATGGCATGCGTGGCTTGTGACATTTTTCAGTATTCCAGAACAGGGATAACTTTTTGGAATAGGAACGCGAAATGCTGCTACTAAAAATTAATTATTATTGAGCAGTTACCTCCAATATTAATAAAATTCACCAAGCTCTTATTTTCAACTGAAAGAAGCGTTAGTCAACCGATGTTTGCTTCTAAGGGACCACAACAAAGTGTTAGGTCCATCATGCTAGTGCAAAAAGTACTGCAGACAACTGAGTCCACTATATTTAATTCATTTTGGAACTTGGACTCGTATGACAAACAGAATACATATTTTTGTTTTCTATTATAAATGTTATATCAAAGAAAAGAAGCTACAAAAAGAAAATTAAACGCCCGGAATCGGCTTGACGGGTAACAAACCAATATTTGGTCCAGCTAAATGGAGTTGACGTTCAAATAAATAAAACTGAATTTTTTATCTGTTCATGAACTTCAAAGCAGTAGTAAGCGATTAAAACTTATCGCTCAGCAAATTTCCGAAAGTAGAACAACTCCAAAAAGGGACGGTAGAGGCAAACACCATAAGAGTCCCACCAAAACTTCCGCAGAAAGAGTTCAGTCTGTTCACGACCACATTTAAGCCATTCCAAAGTATGTGATTCACTAAAGTCGGAACGTCAATCCAAATAGAGTTTTCCCAAGCCACGACCTCAACATATCTACTCTTTACAAGGATTACTATATTGAGCGATCCAAAGAACGTGAAATAACACCAGTAATCTTTTTTTGTAACAGGGCACTAAGCCACATAATTTTCAAAAATGAATTTGTTTTACCGGAATGTGTCACATTTTTTCTGCAGTCATCACCGAATCTTAGTTTTCCCAGTTGTGAGTGTATTGTTTTGGTTCTAGTGAAATAAAGCAAAAAACGTGAATTCAGGATTTACATACAACTTACAATGTCAAATTTCCCTAAATAAAGTCAATGTGGCTTAGGTAGCTTGTGGCCCCAAGCCCTTCAATTATGGGTCACTTTGCGCAAGAGGTGTACTAGCTCAATCGTACACACCCGAATTGGTCAGTGAAATGTAATCTCTACAAATACTGAATCACTACAAAATGGGCCTAAGTTGATCTGAATCGCTTGTATATTGTTCTAGGTGCTAACACCTTCAGAACGCTAGATTTTTGGTTAGGTATCCACGACTTCAAATACAATAGTTTGCTTATTTTTTGAAAGAGCTAATTAGTTTTTAGTACTAGAATAAATATTGTGTTTTGTTTGTAAAACAGTGCAGTAAACAACTGAGTAATATTTTATAAAATGAATATTCTTGCTGACATCATCGTTGGGTAAAAACACTTCAATATCACTGATACAAAGGTGTGTCTGAATGATAATCAGTTATTGCACTATCATGAAGAATTTATCGTATAATAAGTGGATAACTTGAAGTGCTACGACAATTGCTGAGAGCGGAATTAATTTTTTGTTCGTATGTACGTATTGGCAGATATTAACGCATAAATACGTTATCTTATTCATGATGTATAATAAAACCTCTTTATCAGACATAAGTTTCTTTGTTTAGAAAGCATCTAGAGTTCAAGTTGATGCATCTTTATCGAGGAAAAAACTAAAGTGGCAGAT